CAGGAGCAGAAGGAGAGCGAACATGAGCAAGGAACGCAGGACCGCGAGGGGTGCACCCACACTGAGACAATGGAGATGCTCTATCGGGAACTCACCAAGGCCAGCTGACCTGGGTCTGAAAAAGCCTGGGTTAAAACCGGTCTCACTGAACATAGAGGACAATGAGGACTACTGAGACATCAAGAACAATGGCAAGGGGTTTTTGATCCTATTGCACGTACTGGCTTTGTGGGAGCCTAGGCAGTTTGGATGCTCACCTTACGAGACCTGGACAGAGGAGGGTTTTCCTTGGACTTCCCACGGGACGGGAGGGAGGGAGGGGGACATGATTGGGGGAGGGGGAAGGAAAGGGGAGGCGGAGGTGGGGAAGAGACAGAAATATTTAATAAATAAATTTAAAAAAAAGAAGCCTGTGTCCATGTCTTGGGATTATATACTGCCCTTGTCCTATATGATTCTCTGTTTAAATACTTAAACTCATGAACTTGCTTTGTTTTGGTTGGTCTTCAAATTCTTTTCTTCCAAATAATCAAGGCTTTGGCTTTTCCTGAATGGAGGTCCCTAAGGGTTGAGCTATCTCAGCTAGTGCAGGCAGAGTCAGTCTGCCTGTCCAGCTCTGACATCCCACCTATGTCACTATGTCATCTCTTTCTCTTTAGAGAATTGGAATACAAATAGAACCTACCTTGCAGGATTCTTCTGAGAATTACAAACATGAAATAGATGGAAAAGTGCCTGTCCCGCAGCAAGTGCATATGAGCTAAAAGCTTTTGTGAACTTATCCCCACCCCAAACTTTACTGTGCCTTTGAAGGAGGTATTCTGCCAAAGCCAACCTTCTTAATTATGCTGTGGATATCAACTTCTCTTTTTAAGTCTAATTATGGCATAGTACATGTACCATAAAATGCACCCTTTGAACTGTACCATTAATGCTTTTTAGTGTAACCACAAAGTTAATACACAACCATCATCACTAATTCCATCCCCCTCATCTACATTTGGTGCAGGAGAATTGTTTGTATTCTGTCAATCATGTTTTAAATAAACACTGATTGGCCAGGCAGGAAGTATAGGCAGGAAATCCAGACAGGGAGTAGAAACGATACAATGAGAACAGGAGAATTCTGGGAAGGAAGAAATTGATTCCTCCAAGTCCTGCGCAGACCACCGAGGAAGCAGGATCTGACCTGCCAGCTGAAAAAGGTACTGAGCCATATGGCAAAAATAGATCAGAATAATGGGTTAATATAAGCTACAAGAGCTAATAAATAGCCTGAGCTAATGGGCCAATCAGCTTTATAACTTATAGAGATCTCTGTGATTTGGGGGGGGGGCTTGCCGGCTGTGGGGTACTGGGTGGGACAGAAACCCCAACAAGCAAGCCCTTCATGTTACATACATTAGAACTCACTGGTTTCCTCCCAGCTGTACCATCCTGCCCTACACAATCACTGATCTACTTTCTCTACATACAGAAAGGTCATACCACAAGTGACCTTTTCTTTCTAATATTGTTCATTTTTTTAAAAAAAATGTATACATGTGGGGGTAACATGTGCATGTATAATATCAGATTCCCAGGTGCTGGATTTATAGGAAGTTGTGAACCACCTTTTATGGGCAATGGGAACTGAACTCAGGTCCTTTGGAAGAACAGCAAACACTCTTCACCACGGAGGTGTATCTTCCCCCCCCCCCCGGTTTCTCTTATTCAGCTTAGTATCTTCAAAGTTAATCCACGGTATTGCATGTGTCAGTACTTCTCTCCTCTTCATAGATAAATAAAACTCCATCCTCTACATACAATGCATCTGGTGATTGGAAGTTGGGATGTTTTCACTTTGGGCTATTATAAATAATGCTGCTATGTACATGCAATATAGTTAGAGTCCTTATTCTCCAGTTCCTGGCTATTGTAGTTTGAATGTAATTGGCCCCCATAATTGCATAGGGAGTGTCACTTTTGGGAGGTGTGGCTTTGTTCGAGTGGGTATGGCCTTGTTGGAGGAATTGTCCACTGTGAGGGCAGGCTTTGAGGTTTTCTATGCTCAGGATACTGCCAAGTGTCTCAGTTGACTTTCCGTTGCCTGCAAGATGTAGGACTCTCAGCTACTCCTCCAGCACCACTTCCGCCCACATGCGACCATGTTCCCCACGATGATGATAATGGACTGAACCTCTGAAAGTGTAAGTCAGACTTGCTGTGGTCATGGTGTCTCTTCACAGCAATAAAACCCTAAGTAAGACAACTACATATATCAGAATGTGTGTGTATACATGTATCTGTATATATACATACATATATGTGTATGTATGTACATACATATATATGCATACACACATACATCTGTAGAGGCCAGCCTGGGATATATGAAACACTGTCTCAAAACAATGAGCTCTGTTGGTCTGTGAACTAGATAAAGTACCCCAAATTATTGAGCACCTCACACCCCAAAATGTGTGTTAATTTCTATGGTGCTCTATTTGGTTCAGTACTATCTATAAGGATAGAGTATCTTCACCTTGTTCATGGCACAGATGCTTGTGGAAACAAGGAACAGGTTTTCCTCAACTGCAAGATCGTGACCCTTATTTTACTAAAATCCCAGATGAAATTTCCTCAGTCCTCAAGTTTTCTGTTAAATTTATTTGTGTGTGTGTGCATGCACATGTGTGCATGTGTGTGTATGTGTGCTGTGTAGGTCACTCAGAGCTCAACATGTGGGTACAGTGCCATGGTTCAAGAGTGGAGGTCAGAGGACAACATAGGGGAGGGAGTTTGTTCTCACCTTCTACCATGTGAGGTCTCAAGAACTGAACCTGGATCATCAGTCTTGGTGGCAAACACCTTAGCTGATAATCTGTCTCTCTGGCCCTTTCTGGCCCAGCGCTCGTTCCCCAGGTGTGCTCAATAGACTTAAATTCTAACTCTGTAGACTCAGTTAAGTGGAGGGCGAGGTACTTACTTGGGGTGAGCAGCCGCTATTCTGGAAAACTCATTGTCCCACATTGGTCTCCCAAAGGAGGTTTTCTGTTTCAGACCTGTCAGGACATCCGTGGCTTTGTCAAAGTTTAATGCTGCATGACCAGCCTGGAAGCAGAAAAATATAAAATTAGAAAATCCAAGTTTGACAGCTGCTTCTGCCTTCAGCCACTTTGAAACCTTTGGTGTGAGAATGAGGCCAGGTAAGAAATGATAAGGAATACTTATTTTAGTATTCATGCATTATATTTTATTTTAACATTTAGAGATTGGAGTCAGTGCTTTAATTGAACTCACAATGTCGCTGTCCCAGTCAGTGAGAAAGAGACGGTAGTTTAGGAAATCCATTTTGCCTAATTCCTCCATCTCTTGTTCCAGGGAATTCAGTAAGTTGTTGAACCAGGCAAAAGCACCTGTCTCTCTGCAGATCCAGTAGAAATAGATCTGAAATCAGCAAAAATAGTCCATACCCTTATTATGTATCATTCACAATGTACACTGTGGTGATGACAGGTGTGTATGTATGTATGTGTGTTTGTGTGTGTGTGTGTGTAACATCCATACATATATAATACATATGTATATACATAGGTTTATCAGTATTTGTTGACTAAGTCTAAGGGTAATAAATGACATTTACCCTTCTTAACTATCTCCAGATAAGTTCTCCTGCCCCCCTTATTAAGGGTAAGACCTCAAGCTACAATGGCCTTAACCTGTCAGGGCCAGGCCAGGAGGAAAATGACATGTGGGAACATACCTTTTGTGTTTTGAGTTTGTGGTCTGCACGCTGGAATTTGTACCAGATAGATTTCAAGATGGAAGCAAAAGGAGTGACCCCAATCCCTGCCCCAATCAGTACAGCCACTTCATACTGGAAAACATCCTCACTGACTGTGCCAAAGGGGCCGTCCACTGCAATCCTACCAAATGAGAGAAGACAACAGATGCATGAAGTCTCGTCTCAGTCCTTAACCTTAATTATCCTTCCAGAAACAAGCTGCTTCCCCAGCCGGTACCTGCCCACTTAGTTTAATTATGTGCTTGATTACCAGGCTTCTGCTTCAAAAAGGAGTTGTTTTTTTTTTTCTTTTTGGTTAAACTACATTCTGTTTTGAGTCTCTGAAGGTCTCAAGGACCTACCTGGGCATTGGTGAGGGCCTTTGTTCAAATGTCCTTATGAGATTTTCTGTCCAATCCCCTGCTGCTCGGATATGAATGGAGAAAAATTCTTCCTCTGGAGCAGAGGTCAGAGTAAAGGGATGCCACTCCAGGAAGGAAATGGAGGGGCAATTTACAAATATATACTGTCCCACTTCCATGCTAAAGCCACGCTTGCACATCTGCAGTTCCAACACTTTAGATGGGTGCATGACAGCCTGTGAGTGAAGCACATAGGTCATGAGAGGCAAACTCTGTGTTGAAGAAGCTTCGGGCTTCGTTCTGCCACCCAACTCCCACCACTGGCTAGCTTATGCCCCAAAATAACAACACACAAACTGTATTCTTTTAAACACTGCTTGGCCCATTATATCTAGCCTCTTTTCGGCTAACCCTCGCACCTGGACTAGCCCATTTCTAATAATGTGTGTAGCACCCCAAGGTGCGCTAACCGGGAAGATTCTAGCCTACGTCCATCCTGGGTTAGAGTTTCATAGCTTCTGCCCGGGAGAGGGGAGCTGTCGAGTCTGAGCTCACTTCCTCTTCCTCCCAGCATTCTGTTCTGTTTACTCCACCCACCTATGTTTTAACCTATGAGGGCCAAGCAGTTTCTTTATTATAATTAACCAATGACCTTCCTCCATCAACGCTGAACATGGCAAAGGCAGGCATTTATCTAAATGAGTGCTTTTGACTTGTAAGGTATGAGGTCAAGTCCCCTCTAAAAGGGAGCAGCCACTACTTAGCTCCAGACAATAGTTGCAATGTGGGAGTGAGATTCTGTGCTCTCGGGGCTCTTGATACTTCAAGAGAAGGAAAAAAAAAACGGCTTTAATAATCTTGTACTTTAGTTCTCATAAAAATAATGGATGCCATTATGAAACATATTTATACATATCACTGTAATATATGTGTATATGATATATAACATATAAGTATGATGTAATATCACTGATATATGTGTATATACTATATAACACATATTATATATATACATAATGTGATATGTATATATAATATAGATACATACTGTGATATATATGTATATGATATAATATATGTATTATATAATACACTGTGATGTGTGTATATAATATGTATGTATAATATATATATATATACATATATATCACTGTACCTTGCTCTTGTCTGCTCCATACTTGCCCCCTTATTAGGCGACACCTTTCTCCCCCAAGTAGCCACCATTCTGCTTTCATGTCACAATCTCTTCGTCCCCCACATAGTTCTCCGTTGCTTTCATACTCTATATACATTTATTCCATTTATTTCAATTTTTATTTCAATTTTATTTCAATTATTTAATTCATATTGAAATTTCTATTCCAAGCGTGCAAGAAAACGTGGCATTGATTTGCCTTCCAGGCTTATTTCACTTACCATGATAATACTGGATGCAGCTCTTCTTCTGTGAATACCACTCAGTCATCTCCCCAGTCCCTAAGAAGTGTCCTTTTAAAGGGGAAATTTCCATCCAGTTTCTTAAATGGCTGATAACCAGCTCTTTATTTTAGTTTAGATCACAAGAACAATTCCAGGGCCTTGAGCATAGTAAGAAAGCACTCCACCATGAAGCCACATTCCCAGTCCCATCCACCCTTTAAATAATCACCATGTACACAGAACAAAAGACATTTGTGGGTGAGCTCTGGCTCAGGTCCCCTCTTTGTACTCTCCAATGTAGACCCATGCTAGTGGTTCCGGCCAAAGCCCTATTGCCCACAGTTTTGTTCAGCACTAGAGAAACTAAGCATGTTTCTTCTTCCAACATCATTTTTAGGGCTTCAGGGGTGAACATCTGACCACTTAGTTCTGCACTCAGGTAGAACAGAGCTTTTCTCACTGTGATGGAAAGTGGATATTTCTTTACCTTAGTAATCACAACCTTCTGCTGAGAGCGGTAAAAGCGAAGGGTCCTTTCAAAGATATATAGAGCGATTGGTGCCAGGATCCACTTCCAAGACTGCACAAAGACAGGGTAAAGAGTGAAATCACCCCTAAAGCTCTCCCTTAGGACTTATTCCTGTAGAGGTTCTTCATTTAACACATGCATATCAAGTTCTCTACTGTGTATCATTATCGAGTCACTGATTTCAGCACAGGGTAAAATGGAAACAAACACAAAACAAGAGTTTTCTTTGTCAATATGTCATTAATAAAATAGAGCATTCCCTGAAATGTACAGGTCGTATCAGGGAACAAATGCAAATGACAAAAATAAGACAGAAGGGTATGTGTGTATGTGTGTGTTTTAAATTATATTTCAAAATTAAAAAAATGAAACTCAAAGAAAGATGCCCATTATGAAGAAGGGAATGCACGATAGAAGTGAATGATTAAATACAAAAGTAGCAAAACATCGAGGGGGCGGAGTATATGACTGATGCTGCCGGGACCAACACACTGCAAAACACCCAAAGGAAGCAGACTTCTTAAAAACACAGTAGCACTTTAGTCTGTCAAATTACAAGTCAAATTTTAGCAGTGATGTCCAGAATTAACCAGGGTTTGGAACAATTCACGTGTTCACATATGTAGCTAATGGATGTTGACAGCCTCTGCTTAGGGGGCAATTTGCCAGCCCATCTCAACAGTGTCAAAGTAGTCCCTCTCTTTGATCCTGGAATTTACTTCTAGAAAACAGGGATCGAAAAAAAAAAATAGCAAGGGTGTGCAAAAAGCCCTTGGCAACTATAGTGACCAAAATATTCACTAAAAAAATGACCAAAATGGTATATACAGATGTTTTAAAAACAAATTTTTGAAAGGAATATTTGACAATAGAAGAAAGACTCCAAAGATATAGATAGTATTACCTCAGGTTGTAGAAATATATGAATTTTTGTTACATCACCTTTCACGATAGCCACAAAGAGCATAAAATATCTTGGGGTAACCCTGACCAAGGAAGTGAAAGATCTATTTGACAAGAACTTTAAGACTTTGAAGAAAGAAATAGAGGAGGACACCAGAAAATGGAAGGACCTCCCTTGCTCTTGGATTGGGAGGATCAACATAGTAAAAATGGCAATTCTACCAAAAGCAATCTATAGATTCAATGCAATCCCCATCAAAATCCCATCAAAATTCTTCACAGATCTGGAGAAGACAATAATCAACTTTATATGGAAAAACAAAAAACCCAGGATAGCCAAAACAATCTTATACAATAAAGGAACGTCTGGAGGCATTACCATCCCTGACTTCAAACTCTATTACAGAGCTTCAGTATTGAAAACAGCTTGGTATTGGCATAAAAACAGAGAAGTCGACCAATGGAATCGAATAGAAGACCCTGACTTTAACCCACAAACATATGAACACCTGATTTTCGATAAAGGAGCTAAAAGTATACAATGGAAAAAAGAGAGCATCTTCAACAAATTGTGCTGGCAAAACTGGATGTCAATCTGTAGAAGAATGAAAATAGACCCATATCTATCACCATGCACAAAACTCAAGTCCAAGTGGGTGAAAGACCTCAATATCAGTCCAAACACATTAAAACTTTAATATATGTTATTTTTCTAATTTTTAAATGGTGGATGTGTTAAGACTATCTTTTAGAACAAGGTGTAGGGGCACACACATTTAATTTCAGCACTTGAGAGGCAGAGGCAGACAGATCTCTGTGAGTTTGAGGCCAGCCTGGTCTACAAAGTGAGTTCTAGGACAGCCAGAGCTGTTACACAGAGAAAGCCTGTCTTGAAAAACCAGAGTATCTTTCTGTAAGCGTTTGTGGAAGAAACAAAGCAATGCATTTAGGTAGCAAAACTGGCGACCTCACTCAGGATATTCCATGGTCAATCAAAGCAACTCCTGAATTTAAGTACATCTTAAAATAGATTCATCTAATGTGTCTCTAGCACTACATAGAAAAAATACACTGATAAGCAATATCCTCACCTGGATCCCATAAAGAGCAGACAGTGTAAGTACAAGGGCAGGTCTGCCATTAACCTGTCATCTGGTCATTTCCTATGTTCATCAAAGGACTGAAAAGATAAAGGACTACCCACTGTCTCAGAGGCTTTGGTTCAGTTAAGTCCCTACTGTTGATAGGATCTACTATAATGCACCTGTCTGTCTATCCACCCATTCATCTGTCTAGGTCTGATCCTGCACTTGACCTCCACAGCCTCCCTGGTCCTGGTCCTGCACCTCGCCCCTGCAGATAGACTCAGTGCTGAAGTTCTGCTCACTTATGATGCTGTGGCTTTGCTGGAGCCCTCTTCAATAGCTCTCCTGCAGGATTTATTAGCTGACTCCCACAGAGATTCCCTCTGCAGAAATACCATCAGCCTTGCCTCTGCTTCCGGTAAAGTCACCTTGAAATTCTTAAACTCCGCTGTGGCCTCTCTACTTCTTTGTAGCCATTCTATCACTACATAGATAGATGATAGATACTTTTTAAAAAATACTTTTAAATTACTTTACATATTAGTAAGGACCCAAAAGACGCCTGACAATGCATTGAGTGGGTTATGGAGAAATAACCCTATGCAGCACTGGTGAGAACATACACATTTCTAGGTACTTGGAGAGGGTGATTAGGCAATATTTGCCAGACTTGGAGTTTATTCCATAAATTTACTTGTATATATGTTTAACTACATGTACTAGGCTGTTAATTATACCATTGCTTCATAGAACCTAATACTGGTAACATGTGTCCAGCAGTCGGGGTAATTCATACAGTAAGATGTTCAGTGATGATAAAAAGAAAGAGGCATCTGCTAGGGACTTGTCATGAGTGCCCTATATCAGAACCACAGATGACACATTTGGGATTTTCTATAAGGGGAGAACTTATTAAACAGCAACAAATACACAAGCTACTATAGGTTGTGTTTTGTGGAGTAGTCCTGATTTCCCTTGATGCCAGGCTATTGGCAAACACCAGTTCATATAGTCACATCTTAGCTATTAATATTAATTCTTACATAGCACATTACATAGTCTACGAGTTTATCTGTGCATATCATTGAAAGATTTAACCCTTCTCAGAGTGCTTTGAGGCATCACAAGTTGCTCTAGTTCCATCAATTTCCTCAATGTAGCAAATGTTATGAGCAAGCTAAAGTAAACTACATCTATAATTTCCAGAGGATATACATCTTAATTCCATGAGTTTATTTGTCATTTATTTTTATTGATTTATTTATTTTCGGTGGTGTTGAGAATCAAATCCAAGGTTTTGTGCATATATTAATCCTCTTGTCTCTGCGCCCCTCAGTGCCAGAATTGCAAGTGCTATGTCCCACTTTTTCTGTGGGTGCTGAGGATCTGAACTTGTGTCCTTCACCACTGAGCTGTAAACACAGCCCCTGGAACTCAGTCTCAGTCTGTCTGTCTGTCTTTGTCTCTCTGTCTGTTCCGGTCTCTCTGCTCTGCCTCTGTTTCTCTGTGTGGTATGTGTGTGGGGGTGTGTATACATGTGTGCAAGCACACATGTGCACATGTATAGGCATGTGGTGGCCAGAAATCAATGGGGTAACTTCCTCAGTCATTTTCCACCTTACTGTTTGACACAGAGTCTCTCGCCAAATTTGAAACTTCTCAATTTGACTAGATTGACAGGCCACCAAGCACTAGGGATCCTCTTGTCTCTGCCTCCACTGTGCTGGGATTATAAGTGCATGCAGCTCTGCCCCACTTTTTCTGTGGGTGCTGAGGATCTGAACTCATCCTTATGTCTGTGGACAAGCACTTTGCAAGCCTTCATAAAAACTGTGAAACAGTATTTGTCAAGCATGCTGTACCATTAAAGATAGCCTGCTTCAAGGATGTTTTGATTTTACTCCATGAAAATTTGACCAGGATTTATCAGCTGAACTTTTGGAACAATACAGTGGTCAAGGGTTTCATCTTTGGGTTCATAAAAAACCTAGACTTGGGCTGGAGAGATGGCTCAGTGGTTAAGAGCATTGCCTGCTCTTCCAAAGGTCCTGAGTTCAATTCCAGGCAACCACATGGTGGTTCACAACCATCTGTTATGAGGTCTGGCGCCCTCTTCTGGCCGTCGGGCATGCATGCAGACAGAATATTGTATACATAATAAATAAATAAATATTTTAAAAAAACCTAGACTTGAAGGAAAGCTCCATTAATTACTGATGATGACTTCACATAATCTTTTTTTATATTTATTTATTATGTATACAATATTCTGTCTGTGTGTATGTCTGCAGGCCAGAAGAGGGCACCAGATGTCATTACAGATGGTTGTGAGCCACCATGTGGTTGCCGGGAATTGAACTCAGGGCCTTTGGAAGAGTAGGCAATGCTCTTAACCTCTGAGCCATCTCTCCAGCCCGACTTCACATCATCTTACAGATTTTTTTTGTCCCAAGATGAAGATAAAAGAAGTGCTTACCTCAGAGATCATTTATCTCAAACAGCAAAACTGGGACACAGTAAATATTATCAATAACTTTACTTCTATAGAGAGGCCACACAGCATGCAGCAATTAATGGTTGCTACATGCTGTAGCAATTTCTTTCTTTCTCAAGAGTCCCTGTAATTGCCTGTTGTAAATGATTTTTTTTTGTAAAATTATAGATATCTTTCATAGGAAGGAACCAACAGTGAGCAAATAATAATGACAATACTAACAAGGGTAACTGTGAAATAGGAGACAGCCCTTCTCCCGTGGCATTCTTACCTCAGGGGGGTGCCCCACAAAGTGAGGACGTCTGCAACTCCATTCATACTTATCCCACTCAAGAAAAGACTTTGAACAATTGTGGGGATGACTTTCACCCAGGCTTTCCTCCGTTTGACGTCGGACAATCCCACTGAAACACACAAAGTAGGACAGTTTGTGACAATGAATTATCCAAAGACATGGGTGGGCATGAGAATGGGATCTGAAGACCTTACCCCAGGCCGTGGATCCCTAAGCAGATGATATAGACGATAAAAAGGTGATGCGTATACCAGAAGAGCTCAAAATAATTCCTGCGGATAAACTCCATAGCTGATGTTACCATGAGAACCAAGGCTGTTGTGGCAATCACTCCAGTAAGGCCAGCAACACTGGTAAACGTTGCATGCATTGCTGTCTGTGAAAGGAGAAATGTCAGCCTGGCCACAAAATCTACCAAGAATACCATGATCTCCCTGATCATGACCAGATACCCATGCTTTCACATCAAATCACCTAACCGTGTTTGGAGACTGGATGGGATTTAGCCAAGAATCCTTTTCTTTCTCATGACGAGAGAGGTTGGAGAGAACAAAGGCAAGCGATCCATCCATGGCCTGCTGGCTTCTACTGTAGCGTTCAAAGTTAAATAGGTGTGCAATGACATGAATAGCTAAGTGGAAAGATGGGGGGTGTCAGGAACATTATGGCAACCATATCCCACTGAAACAGGAGACTCCCACCTATAGTGCCTAGCGGAATGCAGAGTCCACAGTATATACCCAAGACCTCCCACCACCATCCACTCAGTTCCCAAAGGAACAGATTATATACTCCACGAATATGGTTCTTAAAAGTGTCTCATAAAGAGTTCCAGGTGCTTATTAAATATTTTTAATGTTTATATGCACAGGCAAATGACATTGCACCCTGATCACCTGTTGTCCATGGTTGCATCTTTTGCCACATTACCTGTGAATATGCAGATCATATATGCCACCAGCTTATGGAAGAGGAGGTTGTGATCCAATGGCTTTCTCAGTGAGCGGTTGCAAAACTACAAATGCAAAGTCATCCTGGTCAGGTGTCACCAGTCAGTCTTATGAAATTCACTAATTCCCACCAACATGCCTGCCTTAACCACAGCATTCCAGTACCCAACCATCGCCATCCACCAAAGGAGACCTCTGGGTTCCATTCCGAGGGACTCTTCCTTTAATGTGAAAGCTGAACTAAGCACAGTGGGAACTCACTGAGCAGGTGCCCCTCAGGAAGGACAGCAGATTGCGACACACAGGAATCAGGATCATCATGCTGTTAAAATTCAAGCAGAAAGCAGAGGCTCGGGCAAAGGCCAAGGCGGTCTGGAATAGAGGAGAAAAAAGAGACTGCTACTTTATCTCAGCATCCAGCAGGTGAGGACTGGTCCGGTCTACTTTTCTAGGATGAGCAAATGGACATTAAGGGGCGGTTTCCTGCCCCTCTCAGTCACTCTCTCTCAGCAACCAGCATACCAGGCCAGTCCCTCTGCCAAAGAGAGACAATAGACTGAACTTACTGGAATTGAGGAATTCTCATGACAGTGGTTTGGAAATGTTGGGTGATTTATTTATTAATGTGAACAAGAACAAGGTTCAGTAATTCTGCATTAGCAAATACAATCTATGAATGTAATAGTTTGCAGAAGATATTTTTATTTCATGCATTTAATTATACTTTTATTGTTTGCCCTTTATAAAATAGCCTTGGAGATCATATATACTTTTATATATTATTAACTAAAGCTTATATTTAAAGATACAATTATGGTTGATGACTTTTTATTCTCTTTTCCACATTTTCTAATGTTGAAAATTTAAGAAAGCAATGCTTGTTTAGAAAATAAAAATTTAACCAGCTGTATGTGATATCTTTAAAATGGAACACTTGGAGAACTATTAAATATAGCTAGAGATAGAAGGGAAAGCCTTTCTTTGCTCAGCTCTGGGCATGGGACACAGGGCCGTTTGCATGCCAGGTAAGCACTGTTCCCCGAGAAAGTGTAATTTCTAAGTGAAGAGCTTTAAGGTGATTTCCTTGAGTGACCAGGGAGCATCAAATAAGAACAGCAAAAGGTCTAGGCAGTTATAGCAGCTAAAGTCAACCTCTCAATTCTATACAACTGGTCTCCAAGTTGCTTTTTGTTTTTGGACTGCTATCTATGAATTACGACAATCTTATAGTAGTAATTGGGTAGGGGAAGAGTCAGGCTATTTTTCATTGCAATTAAGCAAATTTATGAGTCTTACATGTGTGCCTATAAACAACTAAAAAGACAACTATGGGTGAGAATGCACAATTTCTTAGTATTTTAAAACAATTATTAAGGCACACTTCTTATGCTCATGGATTGGAAAAATCAATATTGTTAAAATGGTTACATTAATGAAAGTAGTCTACAGATTCAATGCAACTCCCCTCACAGTTCCAATGACATTCTTCACCGAACTAGAAAAAAAAACCCTAAACTTCATATGGAAATACAAAAGGACCCTGAATAACCAAAGAAATCCTTAGCAGAATAAATAATGGTATAAGTATTACAAAACCTAATCTCAAATTAATACAACAGAACCATAACAACAGAATGGCATGGTAATGTCATAAAATGCATACAAAGGGATGGGGAGATGGTGAAGCAGGTAAGAACATTGTTACGTTAACATGAGAGTCTGAGTTCTAACCTCTAGCACCCATGTATAAAGCCAGGCATGACAGCAACAGCTGTAACTACAATGCTTGAGGAGTGTGGATGGAGACAGGAGTATCACGGAGCTTGCTGGCCACCAGCCTAGCTCCACTTTCAGTGAGAGGCTTTGTCTCAAATGAATAATGTAGAGAGTTACAGAGCAGAAGAGCTGACAGCTCCAGGCTTCAGAACAGAAGTACTCACACCTATACACACAGATGAATGTATACTCCCCACACAAAGTAAATAATTTTATAAAACAGTATATAGTCTGATGTAATAGAAAAGAGGACCTGTTGTGGGATTGCCCTCTGTATGCTATGAATATGTTTTATTACCATTAGTTATTAAATAAGCTGTTTCAGCCAATGGCTTAATAGAGTAAAGTCAGGTGGGAAATCCGAACAGAGATATAGAGAAAAAGTAGGCAGGATCAGGAAGACACCATGTAGCTGCCAAAGGAGAAAGATGGCAGCTGCCAGCCAGAACCTTACCAATAGGCCACACCCTCATGGTGATACACAGATTAATAAAAATGAGTTAATTTAAGATGTAAGAGTTAGCTAAAATATGCCAAAGTTATTGGCCAAACAGTATCATAATTAATATAGTTTCTGTGTGATTATTTGGGTCTGAGCAGTTGGGAAACGAACAAGCAGTCTCCACCTACAAAATGGGCCACCAAAATGAGGCAACCACATCCATATAAAACCTGAGAGAGTTTGGAAAGTTCTAGACACAAAAGAACAGAGTTAAGCATGACTTCTTGGTAGCTGTATTTTTTTTTCAGACTTGTTCTGTTTGCTAGAAGCAAGCAGAGGTATGCTTTCTTTAAGAGAAGGCTTCCTGACTCCTCGGTAGCAACAAAAACTGCACAGATCTTTAAGAAGGCTTCCAGAGCTAGTTGCACAAACAGTTCTGGCTCATTCAGGAGACTGAGCACTTGAATGGGCTTTGTGGGCAGTATGCTACAAGTTACTTGGTGGCAGCATGGGCTATCTGCTTTCTATAGTTGAGATGGTAGGGATGTCTCCTACCTGACAGTCCCAGAGCTGGTGATAAAGGTACCTCCACCATATCGAAAGGCTGAGAGAGGCTGAGCCAGCATCCAGGGATGCCATGACCAAGATGCTTACCATTTTAAAAGTGTTCCTGATCAGAAAATTATTACATATAGGCAATAGGACAGATGCAGACATAAAAGACCTCTAAATGAGACAGTGTGTTAAAAAATATATACATAGGCTTGGGAGAGAGAAGAAAAGAAGTATAGACAGTTATAAAAAGAAATAAATCATTTTAAAAAATAAAACAAAGTCTTCAAAGAGACAGAATACAGATAGTCATATATTAAAGTAGTAAAGAAATATAAGCCACATAAAAATGGAAAATACACAGAGTCTGGATTATGTATATCATTGTGTTTTCTTTGAATTTTTTGGCTGTGAATAAACTAAGTACAGAGAGACATTTCATTGTATGGGCTGCTCTTGACTTCAAAATTTGAGTCTAAGGATATGTTGCTTAGGAAAAGAGGTTCTGTTTTTGTTTCCACAGAGTATAGAAAGCTGTGAATTCCTTACCAGCTAATATGGTTTGATCAAACAAGACCCCCTGAAGCAATGGCCCAGATGGTCCAACATCCATGACAGTTTCAGGACTGCTGGTTGTGGATACCCCATGAAAGACCTGATTAACAGCATCCCCCAACCAACAGGAAGTGGTTTAAAGAACAATGCCCAAATTCCCTAAATGATTTTTTAAAATTTGTTTACCTTTAAAGATGGATATGCTCTAGAGATGAATATTTTGCATTGGTATTAATCTTGATTTATTGATACAAATTTAAGATCAATTTTGTTATATGCATATTTCTGCTCTTGATAAAGGTATTGTGCTTGTACAGTTCATTTAAAAATGTAATGTATAAATAAGAAATTCAGGTTAATAGATAGTTATCTATAATAGTCAAGCTTGTAGTCATGTTAAATTAGGTTTTCTAGATATACAGAGATATATTTCAGATGGATAGGTATTCTTCAAATCTTTCAAATACTAACAGAATATGGCATTTAAAATGTTTTAAGAACTTAGGATTTTTTATGACAATGAAGAAATACATCTGCTTCTGGCAGCATCAATCTACTTCAAGAGGATGATGGGCATTGAAGAGGCTCCTTATGGAGTTGGTTAGCCATTTGGGAAAGAAACTGCTCTCGCCCAGACTGCTTGATGGGTATGCTGTATGAACTGGACATGCAGGACCCACAGAAAAATGACTGCTCAACTTGCCTAAAGGTGAGACAATCCTTCAGGGTTCCTGCTTCATTAAAGAGTCTACCAGACATTCTGCAGGATACAGAAGAAAGTGACTGGCAAATTGCCAATAGAGGTGAAACAGTCTTTCAAATTTCTTGTTTCATGGAAAAGTTTGCCGGATACAGTTTGCCGGATACTATGGGCCTATAGGCTGAAGATAGATACCCCAATGTTACAGAAGAACTTTGGGTGACTATCCAGGCAGTGAGATGTCTCTGTCAATTCTAGAGTTTTGGAAGTTGCATACAATGCACTTCCTGTTAACTTAGGTAATATTATATCCTTCTGGGGTCTTTAATGGAATTGAAGAAAAGATAGTTATAATCACAGTTTTTCTTAGTTATGATAAAATATAAAGTAGATATAAATGTTGTAATTATAATTCTTGCTTGATAGCTGTTTTGTTGTATGTAATTTTACTATGTTAAAGTTCAAACCTTCCTTTTATTTAGACAGAAAAGGGGAGATTATGTGGGATACCCCTCTGTATGCTATGAATATGTTTTATTACCATTGGTTACTAAAGAAGCTGTTTCAGCCAATGACTTAGTGGAGTAAAGCCAGGTGGGAAATCCGAACAGAGATATATAGAAAAAGTAGGCAGAGTCAGAGAGACACAATGTAGCTGCCAAAGGAGAAAGACGCCAGCCACCAGCCAGAATCTTACCAGTAGGCCACATCCTCATGGTGATACACAGATTAAAAGAATGGGTTAATTTAAGATGTAAGAGTTAGCTAAGACTATGCCTAAGCTATTGGCCAAACCATACCGTAATTAATATAGTTTCTGTGTGATTATTTGGGTCTGAGTATTTGGGAAATGAGCAAGCAGTCTCTGCCTACAAGGACTCAGAAATACACTCATACAGCTACCTCTACCTAATATCTGACAACAGTGTCAAAAACAGATATTGGGGGGAAAGCCAGCCAGATGGTGCTGATGAAATGGATATATATCTGTTGAAGGAAGAAACTAAATCCATATAACTTACTCTGTGCAAAAATATCAATTCAAAATGGATTAGAGACCTGAATTTAAGGCCTCAAACTTGGAATGTGGAAGACTCTTCAAAATATAAGCATGGACTTTCTGGAAAAAGAAAAAACTCCAATAACTCAGGCCATAAACCCAAGATTTTAAAAGTGGGATTGAAGAAAATTAAAAGGGTTCTCAGGGACTAGTGAGATGGCTCTAGTGGTAAAGGTGCTTGCTGTCAATCTGGGTTTGATTTCCAGGACACTTGTGGTGGAAAGAGAGAAGAGACTCGTGTTGGAGCATTCATGTGCCTGTCTGTGTCATCAGTCTGTCTGTGGGCA